CGAAAGTGAAATCACAACTTTCAACTATTGATATTTGGAACTGAGAAAAGTTCGGCATCAAATCCTGCTTACTTTTTTTTTCTTCTAACTTTAATCTTCTTTTCTTTTCTTATCATCATCAGCATCATAAGAATTTGGAACTTATTTTCCTCTGCTATTCAACGAAATTCAGATAACAATATCTTTCCATGGAAAAGGTTACAGATTCATAGCAACGGTTAGAAATTATTTCTTTCATTCAAATATCGTCAACAATTCCAGAGGAATTATCTTCATGATATGTTGCATGAATACTCATGAATTTTGCTCAAAACAATCAGACTCAATTCCTTGATTCCACTTCATATTCATGGTGCTTTTTAATAGACATAAATATGAAGAAAAAACTGGAATTAAAAAAGTTTTATTAGTCTGAGTAGTTAATTAATTGTAAATTATATTTAATTTGGAATTGAATTAATCACTGATTATTGTTTATCTTTTTGATTTTTACCATGTTTCAAACACGATCCAACTTCAAGTAGCAATCTAATTAACTATTGATGATGTTAAATGAATAATTGAAACTTGATTGATCTTAATGATAATTGTTACAACCAATTGTTAACTTAATTGTCTATTAAATAAATTATTTTCCACTCTCAAAGTGATATTGATTAGTTTTGGTTAATCAATTGATTGTGACTTTTGTTTTCTTATAAAAAACAACAAGAGTGGGGAAAAGTTAATCTGATTATCATTAATTATTAATTTCAAATTTAATCGATGAGACAATTAATCGTATCTAATTAATCTGTTAATCAGTGAAGCAATAGAAATAAATACAGGGAGTAACAATCAAAATACCCTGACACCCTGTATAATTTAGCTCAATTAACATCATTGTGGACCGAAATCAAATCAAATCAGTTCGTTCATTTAAACGTTAAACAATTAGAAAAGGGATCGATTGTCATTGATTATAAGTCTTCAATCAAAATGCAATCAATTAGACAATTTAATCACAATCAACGTTCAATAAATTTAACAGATTAAATTTTTCAACAATTAACTGATCGCACCAAGAAAGCAATCTAATAATTGATTAGATTGCTGATTATGATTAAGCTGATTAATGAATTGCAAAGTAAACCAGTTAGTTGGTTTCAATTGAATCGATACAAAAATTTAAATGCTCAGGACAATTAAATGAATAGTCAATTAACTGGATAAATCAATGACCATTAATAACTAATTGTCGATGGTCAATATGTTGATGAAAAAAGGGAAGAGCAATTAAAATTGACTATTATTAATAAAGATGAGTTGATGATAATAACGATAATCAATCGATACCAAAATAAGAGGACAAGTTAATTATTATACGAAAAATAATAATCAATTTTTTTCATCAAGTAAAATGTTAAACTGACCAGAACTGGACAATTGACATTGATGATTTTAGTGTTTACAAAAAAATACAACTCATCGAAACGGTGAAATCTATTGAATTATCATGATAAGATATTGATAATAAAATGAAATCCTTTTCAATTGAATCTTATTGATAGTTGATTGTCTATCGATTGTTGATCCATCTCCTTTTTTTTCAGCGATATTATTATTATATTTTCATTCCCAAGGTGAGATTCAGCATCTTTCATCTTTACTTTTTTTCTGTTACCTTCTTCCTCATCTTATCATCATTCTTTTCTCATTATCATTTCGTTTTTTTTCTCTCTTTTCATCTTTTTATCATCATCTCAATTCTATGTGTACCTATGCTCTTGAATTCTTGATCATCATCCATGATACAGGTAAGGTTAAGGTGCTTTTCATATGACAAATTGAAGAGTAAATAGAGAGAACAATCATGAAAGAGGATGAAGATGATATGGAAGAAAAGAAAAAGCAGAAAGAAACCAAATAGTGTTGTAAGAATGGATGAGAGAGAGAGAGAGAGAGAGAGAGAGAGAGAGATTGGTTGGTGATTCGATTTTTTCTTTTCGATTTGTAAAAAAATTCATGTAACATCCATGGAGATTGTCTGTTCATTTGTAGATCAATTTTCAATCAAAGTGATAAAATTGTCTAATCAAATTCAACAGAGTAAATGAAATCATAGATATATATCAAAATTAAATTCGATGAGCTTATCATGAAATTTTCCAGAACATTTTCATCATCATGATACACCGAAAAGAAGATAAATTTTATACTTGATAGTTGACAAACTCTTCTAAATTGTACCAATAAGAAAAAGGTAAAAAGCATCATTTATAACCATAGAAATTGTATCAATGTTTCAAAATTGAAGAGAAAAGTTGATTCATGATGAAACTCTGAAAATCGATTCGGGAAAAGTTTCACCAACCAAAATAATTATCTCTAAATTTTGAGTAAATAAAAAGTAATCATAATGATAATAGAAAACAATAATTGTATATGTGTTTGTATTTACTATGGTGGGTTTTGAATGAAGGTGGGATGATGATGATAATTGTGGTGGTGGTGGTGGTTTGACTGAATGAGGAAACGATGCTGGGAAAATTGTAATATACACCGAGGCTCTTGTGATAATAATGAGGTTGGGAATTGATGTTTGTTGATTGTTAATCTATTGTTATTAGACTAATGACACAGCTAATTAAGATGATAAAGACAATCATGTAATGACAATGATTCCGTAATAATAATGAAAATAATTCTGGTTGAATAAACTATTAAACTGTTCATTGTGTTGGTTCAACTTTTTTTTTCTTCTTCTTCTCATCCGGTTTCATGATAATATTATTATCCTAATTTCATTAGATAAATATAGTTAATCATCATCATGATTATTATCATGTTAATGAAAATTCATTTGTGAAAAAAGTTCAATTCAAAGTTGATGGAAAACAATTAAACCGGAAAAGTTTATGTTTATTGGTGTTTTTTGTTGTTGTTGTTTAATTGAATTTAAAATGACAATTTAAATTCAACTTCTTCTAATGCTAATCAATTGATCTTAATTGTGATTGATTTAACAGAACGTTAATCTTTTAATTGTTAACAATCATCATCATCATGTTTTTATATCAACATAATTGTATTTATGATTTGACACGTTTCTCATTATCTAATTGTGATCAATTGTTTGTCTTGATTGTTTGATTAACCTTTTTAACGTGATTATATTGTTAAGATTGTTAAGTTAATTGTTAGTTACTGATCAAGGAAACGGAAATGAGTAAAACATTTCAATTATTAAGACACATCATTTAGTTAAATAATAATATAATAACAATTAACCTTGTAATCAATTGTAAAGGTAAACAATTAAGTGATTTGATAAAAAAAAGTGTTGATTAATTGTGATTAATGAATAAATTATTAGTCTCACCATTTGAATTTGTAGTTGACAATTTGATTAATCCAATAGGTTTTCAGAGTAACAATTTCATTTCATTAATCAATTTAATGATTGGTAACAACAACAACAACAACAACTAAAACAACAACAATTAAGTTAATTGTTACCGATCGTTGAATTTAATATTTAATAATTGTCAATGATGAGACACAATTATGATGATCACAGTAGCAATATAGTTGTGAGCACAATTAACAAACAAACAAGAGACACTAATTTAACCTTCACATTGATTGTCAACAATTAGCACAAACTTGTAGCAATTAAAATTAAAAGGATCACAAAAAAGTTATCATTACTATTGTTTCCATAATTATCAAGCAAATTAATATTGTTGTTACATTTGAAGACAATTAGGTTCATTTTTAATTGAATTAAAAAAAAACTTTGTTGTTGTTTTTTTCTCTGTTGATTTTGTTAATTGTTCACAATCAACGAGAAAATATAAAAAATACAAAATTTGTATCAACAAGAGATTGGGGATGATAAATGATCTGAGTTGCTGATTTGTTACAATAAACAAAATGTTGGTTTAATTTTTTTTTCTTCATCATTAAATCAACAATCAACTCACCCAACTAGACACACATCAATCAACAAATCTCACTTACTCACTCACTCACTCACTCTCTCTCTCTCTCACCCACTCCACCCTCTTTTGCTACTCATTACTTCATAATTCATTTGACACTCTCAGTAATTTGCTAGAGTGAGTAAGGTAAAGGGAGATGAAAATTATCAACATCATCATCGTGATTAAATTACTTCTAGTAAACTGGATTGTAAAGCAGAAGCAAAAAAAAGTCAACAATTTAAATGTTAATCATTATCCTAATACAATTTATCTGGTAAATTGTTAGTTAATTGTTGATTAACGTGATAGATTTTCTGGTTTTTAGCTTAATTTTGTCTTCGTCTCATTTACTGATTGTAAAACTCAATGTACTCAAAAAGCTGATTATATGATGATATTGGTTATCGTCATCATAATGATGATATTGACGTGATGATGATGTAGACATGATTATGATGATAATAGAATCAGGTTTACATGTGTATTTGTGATTGTCATTAATCAATTGATTGGATATTGAATTGCAATCAACATGTATTAAGATAAGTTATTATAACTCGATAATCAATCTGTTGATGATTGTCAACCTGGCCAGTTAATCAACATTGTAAATGACTCTTGCAAATTTGCATAGGAAATGCAAAAGATTAGCAAAAGTGATCAACTAATTGCAACTTAATCACAAAGAAGCAATCAAATTAATGTAAGAATGTGAAATCAGTTTCAATGGATTAAGTCAATCAATAGTAATCATGAAGTTGTTAGAGTGAAATTTTTACTTTCCATGACATTGAATTTGTCTTTGGTAAGATTCACGAAAATAATAATAATAATATACAAAAAGGAATCTTAAGAATAGGAAAAATTCTGAAGATTCTTGTTTTCGAGCTGAATTTTCATGAAATTACTCCAATTTCTTAACAAATTTCAATCTTGAACAATTTAGATTCATGGTAAGATCCTGGGATTTACTTGAAACTTTATTATATTATTGTTGGTTTTCAGTTGAATGGATAAGATAAATATTGAACTTACCTCAGTATGAACATTGGGTGAAGGTAAACTCATGTAAACATCTTTACCTGTAACATGAAGTCCACCTGAAAAACAAAAGAAAAACAAGAAAATTCATCAGAATAATTTCATCAATTTCATGGTAAATAATCAACAGTAAACATTTCATCATGTTAATCATTTGGTCCTTTCATCATTATCATGATTCATTCTTGATTAAATTACAAAACATTTTTCCATCAATACTTTATGATATTACCTTAATTTTATTCAGTAATTTTCATTTCAAGTCTCATGATGATTATCATGTTTAAAAATAAACATTGCAACGATATAATTGATTCAGTTGAACTGAGAAGAGGAAGAGAGAAAAAAATTTTATCAAATTAACACTTAAAGTGTCTCAACAATTTACTTATTAATTGATGTCATCATCATCTATTACCTAGACAATTAACTGTCAAGACAATTTGAATGATCAAACAATTTACTAATGGATGAATTATAAAGTACAATTAATATCCATAAATCATCAAGGTAACAAATTATCTCGAGTCTTGATTGTTGTTAATTATCATAACTCTCAGAGCGGGAAAATATAAATTCAAACTTTTACTTTTTTTGCCTACCAATTGAAACTAATCACCATCATCATCATCTAATTGTTATAACTGTCTTAGTTGGAAACTACAGTTAATTGAAATATTCTGAGTTCTGTAACTGAGAATCAAGATAATTACAGCTCAGCATTCATCCTCTTAAAGGGGTTTCATGGTAATGAGAAACTTTTATTGAAAAGTTTCAGAGTTTTCAGTTTTTATCATAAAGTTTTTTTTTTCCTCAAATTTTCATGATAAACTTTCAATGAGCTCAAGTGATAAAGTGTATCTTTTATATGTGTTTATGTTTATCTTCATCTTCATCTTCATCTTCATCTCCCCATGAAAATGAAAGGTAAACACTTTAAAAATTGTACTTGTTTCATACAAGATACTTAAAGATGCTAAGACATAATGTTGCCAAATTGTTTCCAATTAGCTAATAGTTAATTGTGTTATCAAATTAATTGAGCCCAAAAGAGATGATGAGGATGAGGATGAGAAAAAAAGTCTCATGTAAATATCATCCATCAATCTAATGGGTGATATGTTGTTATATTTTCCCCTCCATTTCAGATAATAATATGATAAAACTAACGATGAAAGAACTGAAAAAGATACCAGAATTTTCATCATGTAAAGTAAATGAATATTCAACCATCATGATATTGTTTATAATGTCAATTTTATCAGCAAACAATTGAGTATTTTAAAACTAAATTACTGATCAATTAACTATCAACTACACATGCACTTTGTTGATGTAAATCTAATGTAAATATTGATTGTAACAAAATCTTCATTCTTGATTAAATGTGGCTAATTATCTGGCCTAATATCAACTAACTGTATCATTGTTTGTCCACCCTGATAAACTGTGAACACTTCATTTGATTCAATTTGTTTATTAATCCTTAATGATGATCGTTTTGCCCAAAAAGCAAAAAATTAACCTCATTCGTTGTAACTAATCAATTAAATTGTACACAACAAAATTGATTGTAACTCTCATTTCAATGTATCATCTCACACACATTGACATGTAAGTATCTTTGTTTATTGATGATCTCATGATGATCAACATCATGAAAGAGACTGAATTTTGTTCCTATCCTCTTCTAGCTAAACCTTAATGATACATAAATCATTGGTGTCATATTGGTGCCGTTCAGTGTCCCCATTGAATCAGAATGATCCATTGATTTGACGAAAAAGAAAAGGGAAAAAGTTTCATTCATCATATTTCATTGGATCGAATCGTCAACAATAACCTTTGACAATTAAGATAGAAGAATAATAAATTATTGTGGTTATAACGAACTAACAATTTCGACTGATTAGATGATACAAAACTATTCGAGTTCGTAAATTCTATTCTATTCCTTAAATGTTATATTCCATTTTCTTGGTAACCATACGAGATACTCAATTGGCTCATTTCGATAACAAGGTCACTACGGTCATTCTGCAAGGAAAAGACTTCCAAGTTCAGCCGAAGCTTGAAATTTTCGTAAAATTTATTACGATATTGGTAATAAGTCATTTTCTGTCCTCAATCGAGTGATAATTTTTGATAAAACTCTGAACACAATCATTAAAAATGATTAATCTTCTCGTAGATACAATTGATTAGATTTCTGTACAATTTGTCATGAAAGTATCACGATAATCTGAAATGATTTGTGGACATAAATAAATGATAATCTCATTCACCCGTTCATCTCAATATCAGAACTATTGACTGGACAATTAAACATTAATGACATTGATGACCACTAACGATCTTATATTTTAATACAAAATGATTATGTAAATGAGAAAATATCAAGAGTAAAGTAACATGAAAAATTATGATAACAGATAATATCGCCGGAGGGTAGATAATCTTACCATATGTAGATTATAATAGCTTTTATCATGTTCCATATTAGGTAACCATGGTTACGTTCCAGGATAAGTTCTAGATTCTCTACAGCGTTATCAACAATAAACTCTGAGAAAATTATGAAATTTAGGAAATTGTGATAATTTTATCTCAGAATAAATTGAAAATTCTCAGCAAAAATTACATCTCATTGATAAATATTAATACAATTTAAACAAAGGCACTAGAATATAATTAGTTGTTACTAATCAAGAATTAAATAGAATTTCCTAATTAATTTCAACGATTTCATGTTCTCTTATTAAATATTCATCTGAATTTAAAATATCATTAATAACCATTCAGGAGGTAAAATTTATACACATTCAAGTTCCAGCTAACAAATTTCATTCTGTAATTATATGCTGACCAGCTACTGGTCAGTTATCAGAGGCATTTTTATGTATAAAAGTGACCAATCAAAATGCTCTGGATTGGAATAGATTTCTGAACAGTTGTAAGACTAAAGATTTAACAAGATTGAATTGTTATCAAGTGAAATTGAATGAATGTGATCTGAATGGATTAATAAGGTTAGTTGAATGTGGATTAAGGGGATAAACTGAATATTAGGCGAATAAGTTGATCAGTTATCATGAAGAGAGAGAGAGAGAGAGAGAGAGCGAGAGCGAGAGAGCGAGAGAGAGAGAGCGAGAGAGAGAGAGAGAGATTCTGAAAATTGGTATGAATAAAATCTCGTCAAAAAAGATGAGAGACTTGATCCATTTGCATCTATCATGTAATAGTTAAAATCTTTTCCATATTCTTATCATGTTGTGGATTCTATTTTTTTTTCATTTTTTCTCTCATCATTTTCATGATAAATTCTGTCTCCTTTTCACCCAAAGAGATATAAACGAACTCACATCTCATGTTGACTTGTTAGAAAGGTAATTCAGTTTATCCAAGTTGTTCATCATCTCAAATCTCATGTAATTGTGATGGTTATTTGAATATCAAGTGAATTAAGAATGAACCATTTTTCCATATTCATGATTACCATCATCATCATCATCATGACAATTATATTCATTGTAATAAGTTAATTCAATAGAAGATGAGAAAATTGTAAACACCGGAAACTTTAAAATCTTGAAACTTTTTTTCTCATTCTAATTCTTTCACCTTGGTGTTTACCTCCCATTTCCGTTTCCTCGTCTAATTTTTCATGATTTGAATTTAGAAGATGCAAAATGATGATATTCATTGGAAGGATAATAGTTGAGGGAAATTTTCACCATGAATTATAATGAACAAGATAAATGGTGATATTATTATTAGAATATTTTTTTTTACTTCTTTCAAAATGATAATCAAATTGTCTAAGCATCATCATCATCATCATCTGTTGATGTTGTCATGACTCATGACAGTTTGTTTGACTTATCATGATGAAAAAATTTCTTCTCATTCTGATAATGTCATGTATCCAATTCATTCATTCACCTGACAATTATTATTTTCTTATTTTTCTTTCTTCCTTCTCATCATTTTCATCTTATTGTGATCATCATCATCACCATGAAACGTTAACTGTTAAATAATCTTACCCTACGATCAACCTTATCATGTTACTGATTATTATTATCATGATGACAATTCAAGACTCACATTGATAAAAAAATCAATTCTGATTCATGATCCTTAACTGATCACCTGTAATAATGATAATTTATCATTTGACCATTTGATTGACCACAACCCTAATGGATATAATCTGTTATCATGGGAAACATTTATCTCTTCATAATTTTCATTTCTCATCCTCACCATCATCATCATGGTTAATTTTGAACTCTATGGGTCTGGATAAAGACCACAGGGTAGGAATGATTTTTTTTGGTCTCACTCAACTTTCAGAATTGTCAAAGTTCTGGTAAAATCAAAGTGATAACATTGATTTTATGAATTTACAGTTTTTACTCTCATTGTAATAACTCAACTTTTATCCAGTTTTTTTTTCATGTTCATCTAAATATGTTACATCAATTTAGTTTTTCTCATCTCATTTTCATGGTACATGATATTAAGTTTTCAGGATTAGGATGAATGCTGAGGGGGATTGACAGAGGAGAACAGGAAATTGTAACCAATTTGATTGTCAATCGACTGATATAATATATATTATTATCTTCTGAGGTGTTTACCAATACATGAAGCGGAAGTATCAAAAATAGTTACATGATGAGAGAGAGAGAGATGTATATATCACCATGAATATTGTATATACTGTGAACTTTTTCATGGATTGATGATATTATCATGAAATTATCTGAATGATGGAAGATGAACTTTCTGTTGAGTTGAATATCCGTTTTTGCAGAGTGATATTGAGTTTTCATGATGAAAAGTTACTTTGTTGATTTTTACATTTTTGTATCTCAAAAGTTACTGAGTTTTTGAAATGAACTTTTCTTGTCACTTACCTCTTTTGGGTTTAGATATTTCAATTTCATTTACATTGGGTGGTGATGATGATCTTGACTGTGGTGCTGATGTTGATCCGGTGTGATATGGTGCTCCTGGTGCTGAGAAAGTAAATCTTATCTCATTTTTAAGTCTATTATGATCATAAACATAAACATCATCTCCATCATCCTCCTCGCCCTCTTCGCCTTCATCTTGATCAGGATCTTCACCCTCTTCCGGTTCAACTCCTTCCGTTATTTTATTTGAATCAAGATGAAGTGAACTTGGACTTAAAATGTTATTATTATTTTTATCCTCCTTGAAACTTGTCGCGGTGGGTGATGTAGGTGATGGTATACCTGGTGTAACACTGGGCACATCTAGATGACCCGAGGTGGTGGGAATGGCTCCGGTGGTGGGTGAATCTATGGACGCTTGTTGGATTAACCTTGAATATCCTTTGGAATCAAATGAAGCCGCTCGGTGAAGTGCTGATCGTGTTAATCTTTTACGAGTTGAAGGTTTCTTTTCAATCTCACCGGTTGAACTTAATGGTGATGAACTTTTCCAAAATCTAAGGTTAGAGGTTAAAGTTGATAGTCCTGAGTGTTTCTTTTGAACTTGATCACCTGAAGATACAGATGAAGGTGAAACTGAGCCTCCACCTAAACTAGAATTATTATTATTACCAACAAGTCCCAATGGTCCACTTGTGCCTCCCATTAATGGTCCAGTTGGTGTTAATGAATGAGGTGGACGTTTCTTTAATCCTCCAGAGGAAGATGAAGTTTCATTTGATCGAGATAAATTGTTAGAATATTTTTTAATCACTGGATCACCATAATTACACTGAATGGCAACATCTCTTTGCCATGGGAAACGAGGCTCAGAATCAGAGCAATTAATGTCCAATGCTGAGCAATAAGCTTCCTCTGGAAGTAGATTATAAGCATTTGCCTCATTCTTTGGAAGAGCCCCTCGAATTGAATCAACGCTCGATAAATTTAATGTCTAAATAAGAAAAAGAAAATAAGAAAACAAAACAATTTAGAACAAAAAAGTTAAGAAAATTTGATAACAAGTTCGAGAAATAGTGATATTAATTGGAAAGAAATTGATTCGTGTTTACAAAATGTTGGAGTTTTTAAATTTTAAACATCAATCAATGGAAAATCTTATCATCATCACCATGTATCATGAAGAAATACTGAATCATCACCAGAATAATCATCATGAACTTTCCCACTTCTGTATACATGGATTTCTAAGTCTCTTGTTTACCTTTTGTATCTTTAATTACTTTTGATCTGAAAATGGATGAAAAATCCAATCATGTTTATCCTCATCCTCCCATCATCACAGTTAATCTTGTTTACTGGATAAAAGTAGCGAAAAAAAAAATAATAATCATGATCAACATGATGATGATCATGATAATATCTGTTCTTGGAATAATATTTTTTTCTTTCGTGTTAATAACGAATACAAGTGAACGAAAAAAAAGAACAAGAAAATTTCGAAATTAAACTTGAAAATATTTACCGTTACTCTCATCAGCTCGTATTAGAAAATAATCATTTTCCTCGAAAATTTCATTCATCTATTCATTGTATTATTTTTTATTCCATGAAATTATTGTTACCTCATCTTCATAAGACTATATATTATACGATTATTATCATGCTTATTAGTGTTCGATGTTTCTTCATATTATTATTATCATTTTTTACTTCTCATTATTTTTCATCTCAGAACTTGCAACTCTCTTACAGGGAGAATTCATCTTTCAGAATTACAATGAATAGAAAATAATAATCACTATAAGAAGAAGAAGATGATGATGATGATGATGATAGTGGTGGTGGTGATGTTATTTTACTGGGAATTACTTTTTTTCTCCAATGGTTTTTTAATGGAAATTCTCACCTGAGAGAAAAGAATTTTGATTTTTTTTCTTTTTTCTCTTTTCTCTTTTTTCCACCTTGACTTTGGTGGTTTTCTGATCTGGTTAACTCACTAGTGGAGGTTTTTTGGTGGTGATAATGATAAGGAGATGGAATCAAAGATTGAGGACAATAGTTGTTTCCATTATCAAATGAATGCTGGAAAAAGAGGATGTGAAGGTGGGGAAAATGTTCGTTTGAAATTATTATTTTTTTCTTTTTTTTCTATTACTTTTTCTTCCTGAGAATTGTTTGAAAAAACCTGAGCATCTTCCTGAATTCTAGCAAGAGTATAATAAAATTGCGTGAAATTTTCAGTGTTTACAGGAGGAACTACAGAAGAATGAGTGAGAAAATCTAATCTCTAGTTTTCTCTCATTTCGAGATCAGAATAGATTTTAACTTTCACTATTTCGACTTTTTTTCATTCAAGTTCAGGTAAAACGAAGCGTATAAACTTAACAAGGAAAGAATTCTGAGTAAATTCTGCTCAAACAGTTACCATGAAATCATGATAAAGATTCTAACAAATTCTCATGAAAGATTTCATCTCAGAAAAAAAAGTTCATATGAAATCAAATGAAATCAAATTGTTGACAATTTGAATTTCTACTTTTTCTCGGTTTGATTGTGTTGATCATCCGATTTGTTCATTCTGATTTATAAACTTAACAATCAAGATGCTAATTAAAATTAATTGCTTTACTCATTGTGATGCTCATTATTTAATAACTAAAACAATGTTACTATGAAACTGCCCACTGAAGGTCAATCATCACAATTAAATTAACCCGATAAAATTGCTAACTAATGGTAACTTAATGGTTTGGAATCATCTTAATTGGATCAATTGATTTTTCTATCTAAATGATTGATTTTCAGTATTCATGGTAATAACATAGTTCTCAGAATTTCTTAATTCAATTAATGATTAATTAGTACAGTTTGTTTAATTTTAATGGCTTCTAATTTGTTAAACTAATTGCAAAGGGAAATGACAAGTTTAAGGTGAAGACGAATGCTAATTGAATCTAATTTGATTGAAATTCAAAGATTGAATCTCATGAAAAGTATCATGATTATCTGATTTTTCACTAATATAATTTAATTAGATTAAAGAATGATGCAAATAAGCCAAAGAAAATAGTCAAACAGTTTCATTGATTAGAGTGACATTCTGATTGACAATTATAATTACAAATCAAATAAGATCCTGATTAGAGAATTTTAATCATCATGATTATTCATTAACCTTTGAATAAAGAAAAATTCCTTCAAAATTCAATATCTCGAATAGAGATAAAAATAGAATTTCGAATAGAAGAGATCAGAACTTCTAAGAAATTTTACTTCGATTCAATTGATTCGAACGATTTGATAAATTCTGTCAATTGTACAGAATTTTTCATCCTTTCTCTCTCTCTCTCTTCATCATCTTAGTAACAATATCGAATCGAAAATTTTACTTCTTCTTTCGATAAAAGGATAACTTTAGTCTCTTTTTATTCTCTTCAGGGATTCTTGATACAGAACATTTATCGTAATCATATGATACACATGATCTGATAATTCAGGTGTATTTACACTCTCATGAAATATCATGAGAGTAACTTTTTCAACTTTTCGTCTCAATAAAATTCAATTTGAATACAAACTTTTCAGAAATTTTCATTTTCATTCGTTACTTGATAAGATTTTCATGCTCAAAGTTTCATATTAAATTAGAAAATAAAGTTTCAAGTAACATTATCATCCAAATGATATTTAATAATAGAGATGATAATACAGGGAAACCAGACTGACCTTTCTATAATCATCTTCCGTAAATACATTCAGACAATATTGAATATAATGTATTCAAAAAGTTCAGAATCAGTTTAAGGAAATGTTTTCACTCATCGATAGAAACTCCAAGTTAACGACAAATGACTACAATTACAAATAACTGCTCAAGATTAGCAAATAATTAAGCAGAATTCAGAGTTTTTAAATTTAATAAGAAATTTAGTTAACAATTTAATTAATCGAAAGACTAATTAAAACGTAAATGCAATTGGAACTTTGAGAAACTTTGTTTATTACTATGGATCAAATCGATGTCTTGATTATTTGGGAATGGAAAGAAAATTCTGCTTAATTGTGATTGATTAGCTTTAGAATTTAATATTGCTCAATGAATAAAGAGAGAGAAAATTTTGATACTCAATTTTATAGAACAGAGAAAAGATTGATAGAGAAATTGAGTGTTTCCATGTTTCTTTTCCAGGCACATGTATTGGAGGAAATTGAATCGATAATCAATGTAAGTTCTGTGAGTGGTAATGATGATTCAAGCAAAAAGCAATTAACAACAATTAACAGCGAAACAATCAGTATAATCAGCAAAAGAAAACAAATAGCAGAGAAAATAATGATAAATATGATGAAGAAGAGATAAAAAAATATTCTCCCTGTGAATAGATTAACATGGAAGAAGAGAGAGAGAGAAAGAGAATTTTCTTCCATGGATATTACATGGAACCTTCTGAATCTTTTCCGTTTTCTGTGTAATATGAACTTTTGTCATTTCATTTGATTCTCTTCTAATTGCATTCTCATTATGATTTCAATAATTCCCAAATAATTTAACTCAATGAGGAGAGAAGGAAGAAGAAAAAGAAATTCATCAACATGGTGATAATCATGATGAACTAAAAGGAAAGGGAAAGATGAAGGTGGAAATACAAAGTATATAAACTGCTAATAAGTTGGTTTACTTTTACACTTGGAACTTGAATTGTAACTATGGTTACATCAGGAATAGAACAGAACTTTTCATTATGAAACTTTCTTAAGAAAGAAGATTTTCTTTCTTTTCTTTACTAAACATCCACATTCTCTTTCACCAAATTCTAAATTCTCTTTACCTGGATGAAAGTGTAAATACACCTTGTGAATACATATAAACCTATGATAGAAACTCATAACTTGCTCATAACAGTTTTCAATTCTTCTCTTGAAACTTTTAGACTAAAGATCCTTTCTTTCAATACTTAGCAGTAAAACCAGAACTTTTCCTGAATTTATACAAGTATAAACACACCAAAGAATCGCGAACATATGAATTGAAATGATTTTTTGATTGTGATGGGGAAAAGTTTGAGAAATGTTCATTCTTATTCATATTAAGGTGTAAATATATTGACTATTCAATGAATCAGTTTACATTGGAACTTTTCACCCATTGAGATGTTCATGTGATCCAAATTATTTGTCTTGATTGAAGAAAAAGGTTTCAGCAGAAACTGGAACATGGAACCTGAGAGCAATAATTATCCACCATTAGCAGAATTGTCAATCACCTTGAAAAATCAATAAATATGCAAATGATTTCAGAGGTTGAATGAGTATATATTTAAGTATAAATAAAGGAAAACAAACTTAAGAAAAAAAAATAAGAGTTCGAGGAAAAAAAGTTCTAACGAAAAAAAAAGTTTCGTAAACTTTTCTGCTGCATAATTGACAAAGTTAATTATATACTAGAAACAAGATGTAATCTTTCAATGACAATAGTCATGATATTAAATTGGATTAATAGATTGATAGATGAGAATAAATTATCAGCTGATTGTTGCACAATTTGATTATTTTCTCTGATTAACATTTGATAATTACAATCAGATATCTTACAATGAAACCGATAATTAGATGGTAACAGTTATGAGAAAATAAATCTTGGACTTTTTTGTTTAATCTAAAAAGAAAAGTAAAAGTTAATTGTAATCCTAAATCGGATTACGATTGTGAGAATACAAGATTCATGATATATAATAAGTTGAGATGATAATAATGAACAGGTAACAATGATACTGGTGACAATCTTGTACAGGTAAATTTAGATTGAAAAAACAACAGAAACAATTGCCTAATAGTTTCATCAGAATTTTTCAATGACAGGATAATAATAATGCTCATGATGAAAGGTATGATTATCATGAAATAAAATCAAAGGTATTAGATGAAATCTGATTAACCAGGTTAAGATTTTTCCAAGTCACCAAACATAAACAATAATCAGTTTTTTATTGT